TGAACAAATTTGAAAAAGTAACAGATCTCTTCCAAATTGTTTGGAAAAGACTCAGTGAGAGAATCCCATTATGATTTACTGATGAACAAGCAATGTCCTGGTGCATGCTGCTTAAAACATATGTTTGCTTCATCTGCAAGTAAACAACATTAATTTTAAATTATAGGTAGCTCTATCTGTGGATTGTTTAACATATTATCCAAATCATTGCTTTGTTCCTCTCAGAAGGAAAGCTAAAAGAATAAAAATACAAATATACTGCATCTTATTTGAGACATTTATGAGTCGTGATGGCGCAGTAGTTAGAATGTAGTACTGCAGGCTACTTCTGCTGACTGCCGGCTGCCAGCAGTTCGGCAGTTTGATTCTGACCGGCTCAAGTTTGACTCAGATCCTTTCGAGGTCGGTAAAATGAGAACTCAGATTGTTGGGGGCAATAAACCACTTGGAGAGTGCTGTAAAGCACCATGAAGTGGTATATACGGTAAGTCTAATATAGGGGTGTCAAACTGCCGGCCCATGGGCCGGACGCATCATCCGGAAGCCGCGCCTACCCCATTGCCGGCAATGGCAAAACCATCCTGATACGTTGCGTGACGTCATGTGACGTCACAAGTTTGACATGTCTGGTCTAATGTTATTGCTATTTGCTCCACAAGAATCCCAAACCTTTCTTTGGACAAAAGAGCTAACAAAATAGGTAACTACAACAGTCTGCTCTTTTTTCTTATTTTGTATGTCATGAGAACCAGCACAACCTCTGCACAATTTAGAGCAGTCTTGATACTAATTTCTAATTAGCAGATCAATTGTGGATTATTAGGTTTTTTTCTTTTTATATAGCTGCAAGTTCCTCTCTTAAGAAGAATGGGAGGGAATATTTAAAGGTGCTTACCCAAATCAAGATGACAGAAATCTCTGCAGGTATGAGGGAGTTTGAAAGGTTTACAGCCTACTAAGGGCTTGGGCTCTTGTTACCTTGTTCACTGATCAATGTTTACACATTCCCCTTTAGGCACTTTTGATTATTAGGAACTCCTAATAATTTATGGAGATAGGAAAGAAAATTTAGGCCTGAAACCTAACTGAATTTTAAATTTGGTCAAAAGAAACATTTATGTTGCCCCAATAACAAATGTTATTATGACCAACAAATGAACAACACTGGATTTACAGCCGAAGCTGCCGGATATGCTGAAATGTCTTAATTAAACTGTTAGAAACAGAATCCAGTATTCACAAACTATGGCATTTTATTTCAGAGGCCTTTGCTTACATTTGTACAATATATTACATAATTCCATTGTCTGCAGAACCTAATATATATTTTATAGCTTTTCTTTATATGCCTTTCCTTCAATGTTTGTCAACAATTTTTACAGTCCTGTACATATGAAGCGTTTGAAACCATTTTCAATAAAATCAGTTACCTTTAAAGCACACACTACTAAGACTGAAAATGCTTTTCTTAGAAAAGTCAAATGTAAAGATTCGGACACTCTAGCATCTACAAACAGAATGTTTGAAATTCTTACATGTTGTATTGCCAGAAAAAGAAAAAAAAAAAAACATGCCAGCCCCCATAAGCCCAGCCAAAAGAAGTACACAGAACTACAATTAAAACAGTAAAACAATCTGTACAGTAAAGTACTGTGTATTAACAGTGCCAGGTATTAAATAGCTCGAATGAACACTCCCGCAATATACAAATGTCTTACAAAGTTGTGTAATTAAATACAAGTGCCAAACGAGAGGGCATGGGTTCGATAACAACATAAAAGTCATAGAAGTGAAAACAGCTGAATTGATTTTGGATTTTTTACAAGGCAATTAAAACAAAAATTTCATTTCAACCACTCAGTTAGCTATTTATATTATAAACAACTATCCCTTTGTGGCAATGTTCTTCTCAACAAGGACTTAATATTAACACCCTTTACTCCTTCTTGAAGACCTCTCTCAATTGCAGCTCATAATAAAATAAGCATTACTAATGAAATATTTGTTGCTTTAAACTGAAAAGAAACTTTTACAAGAAAACACAAAAATATAAGTGTTATAATTCATTATGAATAAATATACACTTTAAACTGGCTAAATACAATCTTTGTACATTAAGATTTAATACAGTTTGTTAGCCGTTTTCTTCCTTTTTTCACAATGTATTTTATCAAAATTAAAAAAAATACTGATTCATAGAAAAATGGCAAAGTACAGTAGTTTCATTCCAATTCGTGGGCTATCAAAAACCCACGATAACCTATTTTGCCTAATTCAAACCTGTAAACATTTAGTCAGCCTTTTAAGCAGAACCCTTATATTTGGTTGTCAATCTGATGAGAAACATCCTGTTAACGGCAGGTTTGGAACTGAATTACCTGTGCTTGACTTGTACAGTTACAGTCACCATTAAGGCAACAGTTAAAAAACAATTATCTTGTAAAAATGAAAATAGGTTCATTTTTCCTAAAGAATGGAAAAATATCAAATGTTCCAGCTTTAACAAAATACCAGGGAATACGTGAACAGTAAGCCACTTTAATGTTTTGATTTGGCCTACCCAACAACTGCATGCTTACCACACTGATTCTACTGGCAGTGAACAACTTCCATTTGCCACAGTGGAAGGCCTTCAATTCATTCAACATACAATTCCCAGACAAGTTGGAAACAATTATTGCTTGAGGAAAAGCAGTCTGTTGTACTTTTTCTTCATAAAAGTGCACTTAAGTGCAAAGTTAGCTTGTCAAGATTTTTTTTAAATACAAAATAGTGCTTGTCTGAATTTTGTGCCACTGTGCAGTATAAAAAGTGGCTCTCAGCAGCCTTTAAGTGCAAAGTGCTTCGGCAAGTCTTGCTGTCACCTGCACTCGACTGACATTCCGTTCTGTGATGAATTGGACACGGGTGGGTCTGCTAAACTTAACATAACTGCTGCCGTAATGGTACTGGAGGAAGGTGAGGAAGAGGAGGAGGATGTGGTAGCAGCACCTGCAACGATAGTAAAGAAATAAATTATCCCATCTGAATGTTTGCTACTGAAACTAAAATAAGAATATGGGGCATATACAGATGTACATTTTAGAAAAGTCTAGTTCAGTGGTTCTCAACCTGTGGGTCGGGACCCCATTTGGGGTCGATCGACCATTTCATGGGGGTCGCCAAGCAAGGCTGTCCGCCATTTTTTTGTCCGCCATTTTTTCCCCCTTTTCCGGTGGGTGCCTTACCTCCCTTGGGCTGGGCCAGCTGGTGGTCGGCCTGCTCCGTCTCTGCCGCTTGCCAGCTACGCCTCGGCCGGCGCAGGGGGCGGAACCACGCATGCAGGCAGGGAAAGTCCTCGACTTACGACCGGTTGGGTAGTCCTCGACTTACGACCGGTTTAGTCCTCGACTTACGACCGGTTTAGTCCTCGACTTACGACCGGTTGAGGTCACGGCATTAAAAAGGTTGAGAACCACTGGTCTAGTTGCTAAACACTTGTAGTCCCAAAAACTAACTTAAGGATATAGGTAGTCCTCGACTTATGACCATAGTTGAGCCCAAAATTTCTGTCGTTAAGCGCAACGTTTGCTAAGTGAATTTTGTCCCATTTTACGACCTTTCTTGCCGCAGATGTTAAGTGAATCACCACAGTTGATAAGTTAGTAAGGTGGTTGAGTGAATCTGGCTTCCCCATTGATTTTGCTTGTCAAAAGGTTGCAACATGACCTTGGGACACAGCAAGGGTCATAAGTATGAGTCAGTTGCCAAGCATCTGAACTTTGATCACATGATGATGATCAGGGGGATGCTGCAAAGGTTGTAAGTGTGCAAAGTGGTCATAAGTCACTTTTTTCAGCGCCATTGTAACTTTGAATGGTCATGAAATGAACCATTGTAAGTTGAGGACTACCTGTAGTTATGCACAATTATGGAAACTCTTACTCTGAATTGAATTAAGTAAAGGGAAGACTGCACCCTTAATAATAATGGATCTTATAATGGATCTATGGGAATTCACTAAAATCTCATAGTGCTATATTTTTTATTTGAGGGGGGAAAAAACCATATGTGGGATAACCAAGTTGCTTACTTTATATTTTTGAAGAATCCCAGATAATTTACAGTCCCATTATAAGCACACTTCCAACTTATAAGCAGTAAATCAGTCATGACTTAATTATCAGAGTACTTTTTCTGAATTTAAAATGGCAGCATCAGGCAGATCCTTTGTTCAGATAATGCTCACATACATACAAAATATGCCTCCGAAACCTATATATGTTCTCGCTTGCTTTCAGAATTGAATATTCTTCAAGTGTATATGTTCACCATTGTTATCAGTGAATATACAGAATAATATTAAGGCTATGCCGTATTTAAAAAAATTTACAGAGTTGGGATACACAGAAAGAAATTGGCTCAGTTCTAAACAACCGGCACTTAGCTCAAAGAATTAAGGTAGTTTGTGTTATTACTGTGTAACTGTAACTTTTTCTTACATATGCCAGAAGTAATCATCAGAAATATAAAGATAAATACTAAAATGTGACCGTTTGTGGATATTATAAGTAGCTGAAAATTAGTTGCTGGTATTTACATAGTTAAAATATTAGTCTGAACCCTGCCTATAGTAGCTCCATTTTTTTTAAAGTCTATGCATGAGGCAAAAAAGTTGGCTAATTTTTCCCACTCACACCTCTAGAAATGGATGTTGATGACTAAATAATTGTAATTAAATAACTGCAATTAAATAAATGAGGAGGTAATAAGCCGCCTGGGAAAGCCAAGGGAAATCATCAAAACAATTAAAAAACGAAAGTTAAAGAATATTTCGGACATGTGATGTGACAACCAGAAAAATACGGCATACTCCATTTAATCCTCCAGGGAAAGATTGAAGGCAAATGAGGTCCAGGCAGAAGAAGAAGATCATGGCTTCAAAATCTAAAGGACTGGTTTGGACAAAACTCAGCAGCATTTTTTCGTGCAGCTGCTGATAAAAACAGGATTGCCAACATGATCCCCAATGTCCGATAACGGATATGGCACAAGAAGAAGAAATAACTCTTCCAAACTCACTTGTATCCCCCCTCCCCCCCAATACTAACTAGATTAAAATTTAAGTCCACCGTTTGTGGACCTTCATTTCATTGTGGATCTTTCTTTTATTGTGTCTCTCCCTAGATGAATTTTTAAAAATCCATTTAACATATTGTATTTGCAGACTTTAAGCTTGAAAATAATAGGTGAGATAAAGGAGAGGCGTTGATCTTTATTCTAGATTCTAGAACTTTAAAATGTCCTTAAAAATTTTATAGATCTGAAAACCCATATATGGAATAACAAAGACTGTTATGAAAAACTTTTCTTCCAAAAACATTTTCTTCTTTCAAACAAGAAATTTAAATTCAAAGTCATTAAATGTAACCCTAACAGTTGCAGAGTAAGACCTAATATTTTAAAAGACAACTCAGGGTGACATTCTAAGTTTAGGAACTCCATTTCATCCCAGTAAAAAAAGACATATTTAGGCCTAATCACTTACTTTCCCGCTCTTTTTTCTTCAAACGCTTTCTTCTTCTATCAATGGAAGCCACTTCAGATTTTAAAGACATGTAGTGTTTCCTGATTTCCTGAAGTTTTTCTTGAAGGATTGCAATGCGTTCTGCACTGGTCATATTTTCTAAGTCAGCTGGCAAATAAAGCAACTTTTATTAACCCACATCAAAATTCCAATTCATTTTTATTTAGTGAAAGCAATGTGTACACAATGTTACATTTAGCATCTCTCAACAATGGAATCCAATCTATGCCAGTCCCTCAGCCCCTTTGGAGAAAGCAATACTTGACAAAATGAATAGACAACCGTTGCCCATATTTATAACATTATTCCCATTAGTCAGCAGAGACCAATTTTTATAACTTATGTTTGTTCAATCCCTCAGAACTAGTTATTTATGCATTAGAGTAATTACGATATTTATATGTCAATTAATTAACAATAATTAACAATTACACATCTTGTGACTGAACTGTTTCGGTGAACAAAAATAAGTCTTGGAAAAAAAGAGCAGGAAAGGGTGTGATAATGAATATTTTTCCCCATAAATATGTAGTTGAAAGCTCCTTGATGAATCAATAAACGTGATGGAAATAAAGCCAGTGTAATAATAAATGGGATATTTAGTAAAAAAAAATTCAATATGGAGTGGAGAATAAGCTAAAAATATGCAAAATCCTTTTGGTTGTTTAATTACTTATGGATAAATGTTTAATTAATGCTTGGGGTTAGGATTAGGTTTGGGAATAGGAATGTTGTGCGAGAATTCTATGGTTATATGAAAGCTAAGAAGGCTGCATGATGCAATGAAGAGAATGGATCTGAATGTTAATGTACAGGGGTACTCTTTGCTTAACCACTAGCTGTTTTACAGCCATCCAAAGCTATGATGGCCATAGACCAGGTGTTTTACTCTCAGTCAAGAACTGCTGGCCATTATAAATGGTCATGCCACTTCCTGGTCATGTGACTACATGTCAGGCAAGTCAGCTTTATAAACCATCACAGCATTTCCACAGACACGTGACCATGAGTCATAAGTATTTTTGCCAGTTTGTGGCAAAACATCCATTCAAATGACTTAACAAAACTCCTTCCAGTCACGTGGGTGCCTCAACCTATGACTATAATGATTTATGAATGTCATTCTGGGCTCAATTATAGTCGTCATTCAAGGACTATCTGTAATGAAGACCAAGTCAGCTGTGTTTTATAAGGAAAATGGAGTGAACGATCACATTACATATAAATAGTGAAAAATAAGAGCAAATAGATGGATCTGTGGACCCTGGTAAAACAGGATGGGAAAATTTTCTTGGGAAATTTTAAGACATACCAATGCTGGTAATGGAAACTATATGGACTGTTGTCAAAAATGGAATATTTATCAAAAACAAAATGGCTATGTATATTATATGGAAATAAGAGTTATTACATCAGGAGAAATGATTGCAGTAGAAACAGTACTTAAATGTATGTAGTAAAACAAGGAATTTAATAAAAAAATGAGTTATCAGTATAAAAGACAAACACTGAGGTGTTTGGGTCAAACAGAAAAAATAGTTATTGAATTGCAAAATAAATATTTGAATGAAGGGTGAATGGGTTGACAGAATGGGAAAGACAGAAAATTGATGAAATTGATGAGATTCCCAAAGAAAGAGAAAAAGAATGTTTAAGGAACAAAAGAAACATAGGAAGCCACGTATGGATGTGATAGAAACAATAGTTTTCAAGAATACCAACTTCTTATGAAGAGGTATAGTGAACAGTGTAGGTATAAATTAAGTGTAATTAGATTTCCTTTAATCTCCTCCCCCCTTTAATTGAGGTTTTATTACTTCTTACAATTACGCTTTGCATAATAATGCTTTTTCATATAGTTTACCGACTGTATTTTACTGCTTCATATAGAAATGAAAGGTTATGTCCATTCTTGGGAATTCAGCAGATTTGAATTCAAAGCACTTGGTACACTTCCAGAATTCAGGAGAAGCAAACTCTTTACTTACATAATTGGAAACTCCATTTGTAAAGTTTTGGCAAACGACTGTTCTGTTCTTTGAGATCAGAATCTTTTTCTCCATTTTTCCCACATTTTCCAGGAGACTGCGTTCTAGCTGGAGCTTTTGTATGCTGAGATTTCACCCCTGTAGAAACTGATTTTGCTGGCTGCGATTTGGTAATACTTTCTCCAGCAGAAAGTTCTTCACTATCACTACTGTTTGCTGAAAAAAGAGACAACAAATGAATTTTATAGGCTTAGATTGATAAACATTTCAGCACTTCAAACACTTATATGCAGTCACAAAAAGCATTGTCTTCTTATCCTCCAATAAAATATATAATGGAATATTTTCATAGACAAATTAAAAACTTGCATTTTTTTTTAGAGAGAAGTAAGAATATGACTCACTTGGGGGGCACTGCACAGTTTCCTAAGGGTGGAAGCAATCTTTAAGCGGGGTTCAATTTAGAATGTTTTGGCAGGCTGAAAGAGGAAGGGGAAGTACTTTTAAAGGATCTTCAAAGCTTTGGGGGAGATCAGAGAGGGCTGCAGAGAAAAGGAATCAGCAAAAATTCCTTCCTCTCTATTCTGCCAATATAAATATAAGGTATGAAACTTTTGTTTCTCCTGATTCCAGAAGGTTTGGATTTAGCTCATGATCTATTCAGAAGTTTTAAGACCAAGTTTTACACTCCATCAATTTGCCATACTTACTACTTTTGTTCTTTTTTTTGTTGTTCACCACAGATGATTTATGACTTCTTTTCTGCTTTTTCGAGGGACCACCACCCTGGCTATCTTTAAGTCTTTTCTGGCCTGTACAAGCTTTAACATAAAAAAGATATTTTACATGCAATATATCAGAAACACATTTTGATTTTGATCATCTATATCATTTTGCTACTATCTTACTATTTTGCAGTGATAACCTTTTACAATCTAGTTGGAAACAGATAAAACAAAAACAAAACAGTGCAACTGTCTTCAAAATGGCTGCAGCTTAACATAAAAACATCTTAAAATGTATTAATTTAATTTTTAAAAATGATAATCAGGAAACCGTGTAGTAACATTTTAAAAGAAAGAGAAAACAGAATTTTCAAAAATTCATAGTTAAAATTTTCTTATTCATACTAAATAGGAAGTGATTATGAACCCCAAGTAACTTTTGTCAACTGAAGATTCTGCACTAGACATAAAGGCAGGCCTACATAGAAATTAATACACTAATCAGGCTTGAATGTAACCAGCATATGAACTAATTGCATGGTATTTTATTCTGACATATCAGCTGAGGTGGATAAAGGCGCTCCTGGCCATTGCCTCCTCCAGAGAAAGATTGGGACACACACACACACACACACACTCCAAACTGTTTTCTCTATCTGAGACAACATGACTTCATTCATTACAGGAAGATCTACCAACTTGGAACTGTGACCCCTCACAATGAGCACCTCCCTCCTCACAATGAGCACCTCCATCTTGCCTGGATTCAATTTCAATTTATTATCCTTCACTGGACCTATTATTGACTGCAGTGCGCATTCAGGAGAACCAAATTATTATTTGATGACGTTATAGAATTATAAATTTGGGGATTATTAGTATATTAATAGTATCCTGCTTCATATCTGACAGAATGGAGCTGTAAGGAACTCCTTATAATATTTCCCCTTTCAAACAGCAACTATCCTCAAATTACACCATTTGAAAGGAAGGAATAGAATCACGTCACAGCAATTCTTCATATTTTTAGGAAGATAATGATTCCAGGCTAGGGATGCAAATTACAGAAGCAGTAGAATAGCTCTCTGTTTCGCTTTCAAGTTCACTCTCATTTCTACTTCCATCTCTTCCATTATCTCACCTTCACCAAAGGTTACTCTCTGAACTGCTGTGGGCTGTCTCAGAATATAGACCTTGTTAGGACAGGGGCTTTCACCAGATTTTAAGATTCCCCCCAGACACATCTCTGAAATCACCTCCCCTCCAGGCAAGCCAAACAATATTTATCTAGCTCATATGCCCTATCCTTGGAACTATGCAGGCTGGAAAGTCAGAAGAAAAGATCCTAGTTTGTATCTCCAATTATGATGTAGTTTTGTCACAAGAAACATGGCATGTGGGAGCATTGTGCTTGGAGGAATAGAAGTATTATTATTGGAAGCAAGAGTTTGGAGTGGGACAGGGGGAGCTTTGCATTTGTCTTGTTTGTTAATTTCCACTTCTTCACAGAACCAAATTACTAGTTTGCAATCCCTACAATAATATGTCATAGCAATGTGAAAGAATGTAATGCCCTGCATTATTTAAATTCTTCAAGAGTCATTTATTGTTAATATATTCATTCATCCCTTACTTATTCGAGTTCAAATCAAAACTGTGTGAAGTAAAATAAAATTATACTTGGACGGCTTATTAAGTAGGTTTCCATCAATATATATTATACAGGCTGGAAACTTCAGTGCAAAAACTGGGATTGACGATCAGCTTGTGACCAAACTGCATAGTTGATCTCCAGATCAGATAATAATATTGCCGTTATTGCAACAATCCAATAACAAGACTGGGAATTTTAGAGGATTCTGCTTTATAAAATTTTGCTTCATACAAAACTGCTTTTTAAACTGAATCTGACAGCAGTGATATTGGCAAATATATTACTAGACTGGTAGTAACCCATCACTGGTTGGTAATTAAGTAGTGTTGCTGAACGCTACACCATTTAAGTTTACACTTGCCAACAAATTTGATCATATTTAACAACATTTGATAGAATTATTTTATTATCCTGCTGTTTTTGTAACAAAGCATGCCCAGGTGCTATCAGTCTTCTCAGATTGATTGTAAGTCTGATATAGTCCTTACTTACTACTAACTTACTCACATAACAACCGTTTGAAATTATGATGATCCATAAAGCACCCCCCCCCCCCGGGCACATGATCACATTTCAAGCGCTTGGCAACCTGCTCATCTTTACAACTAGTTATGGCATCCCATGATCATGATCTGTGACATTTTTTGCCAGTTTCCAGAAAAAACTGCCCATTCAGAAGTATGGGTTAGCACTTATGACCATGGTACTTGCTTAACGGCTGCCAAATCAGTAAAATGCAAACTAAGCACCTGCAAATTAAATTCCTAGATTGATTGGATATGAATTGATCCTGAGAGACGAACAGGCAAGATTCAGGGCAGGCAGGTTTACATTAGCTTACGCTATAGTGCTCAGCACTTGGGAAAAGGTATTCTTTGAAATGTGGTTCATCTCTATTTGTGGCTTTCACGGACTTAAGCTTGGATTCAATTCAATATTCAGGACCAAATTGTGATGCAAATTTAATGATTCCACAATTGATAAGTATCTGTTCCTATTAATATTTAACATGTATGAGAACACAAGTAAAAGTCACGATGTAATGCGCAAGGACAGCTAACCAAAGAAATAGCAGTGAAAAAAACAGAGAAAGTAGGGCTACTGTGTTACCTCCCACTACTTAGCTATTTTAAGCAACCAGGTTTTCCATCCTAAGATGGACAATAACATGTCAATTGCCTTTTATATGCTGACTATAGGTAGTTTTGCCTTTGAATCTCGTAAGACCTGTAAGATGATGTGCTATAAACTATTCTAAGTCTTAAGAGTTGAATATCCAAGTTACAAAATTGGCAAACAGGAGAACACATCATCGAACAAGTCAATTTTTTAAAATACTTAGGGCTGGCTTTCTAAGCCTCTGGAGCCTGAAATGCCCAGCAGGACTATGTATCCCAAAGAACACAGAAATCATCCTCAACTATACAAGCTTTCCATTTTAACTGAGTTGCACAGTTTATCCAGTTGCTGTTAAGTTATGCCCCAGCTATTGTATGGGGTTCAATTAGAACTCTGCAGCAGGAGGCAATATTAGAGAAAGTTAAACCTAAATTCTCAAGAAATGTTTTTCTTGTCCCTTGCTATGTCCCAAATATACTGGTTCATTGAGAAGCAGAAGTAATTTAGAAGCTTTGGGTTATCTTTAATGTTTGGTTGAAATTGTTACATGGCTCAGGTGGATTGGCCACTTTAATTATAGCAGATGATTTTGATTCTTCCTGGAAAAATTATAATCTCTTTTTCTGGGATGCTCTTTTGCCTTTGGGGTTACAGCACGGTAACTTAATTTTGAAACACAGGATTTTAGATATAGAAGGTCAACTGGACTATGTGCTTGTCCCCATGATGCGTTTATTAACAACCAGGTTCTAAATTTTAAATCAGTCAATTACTTGAACAAAATCACTTTCAAAATTCAGAAGAACTTTACCCCTGATCCATTTTAATGCTCTCCTCACAGCAGTACCGTATTGGAAGAGAAATATAGGAAAATTCCATTTGCTACAGGATGGAGTCCCGATAGTGCAGGTGTGATAGAAATTGCAGCCTATGTTTTGTTACACTGTCAGTTCTGTGTAATTATTACCCCTCTCCTTTCTAAATCCCTATGGCATTCTGATTTATTTTACTTAGATTATTTATTAGATAATAAAGGCAATTATGGCATCGGACCTGGATATCTCCGAGACCGCCTTCTGCCGCAGGTTACCTCCCATCGGCCGGTACGCTCCCACAGAGAGGGTCTCCTCAGGGTGCCGTCAGCCAGACAGTGCCGGCTGGCGACCCCCAGGGGGAGGGCCTTCTCGGTGGGAGCCCCCACCCTCTGGAACGAACTACCCCCAGAGATCCGGGTGATCCC